TACACCTGTGTCCATGGAGCGGATTGGAGCACCTGAATCACATGATTGGGAGGGGATTGGAACACCTGAATCACATGATATGGAGGGGATTGGAACACCTGAATCACATGATTGGGAGGGGATTGGAACACCTGAATCACATGATTGGGAGGGCCCAATACTTTTGGCAATATAGTGTATATGGACATAAACCCATACCTGTATAGCTTTCCGCCTGTAGGTGCAGGTCACATAGTTTGTGGATATATCGGATGTACATCTCTTCTTTATTAATTTCTGATTTGTAGAAATTCTGTACACATTGAGAAAGGAGGGAGAGTCATATCACACGCACCATCAGATAAACACAGATGTAGAAATAGCAATATACATAGAGCACCAGATTCAGACCAACACACAGATATAGATATCATACAGCCAGTCATTGGGAAACAATTAATCCACTTTATAGAGGTACCATCGGTGCTCCTCACCATCAGATTTACTGTACAGCCGACCTTCTTGTTCTCGGTCTCCTCCCCTTCATACAGTCCCTGGAATAGGAGGGTAAAATTCAGAATATGGTCATGGCTGAACTCCCATTGCCAGCTGCTTTCACTGGAGGGGAACAGAAGGGTAGCACTGGAACCCTCTGGTTGTTATAGGATTTGGATAGGGTCAGTGGTGTATTTAGGTTTCGTGCTGCCCTAGGCAACACAAAAATTGGCTCCCCCCCTCGCCTTAGGGGTGCTCTTAGTAACACATGTGTGTAAAAGGCACATGGCCACTGTTCCAAACACTTTTTCTGCACTGCACCTTTCAGGGCAAGGCCTTTTGGCTAAGTCCAGCCTAGCCAGTGCACAATTGCACTCCTGCTGAGCTTAAAAAGAAGGGTCCTGCTGATCTTGAGAAGATGGGTCCTCATTGAGTTTGAGAAGGATTGTTCCACTGAGATTGCGAAGGGTCCTGCTGAACCCAAGAAGTAGGATCCCACTGATTTTGAGAAGAAATGTTCCACTGAGATTGAGAAGAAAGGTCCCACAAAGTTTAACAAGAAGGGTCCCTCTAGGTTTGAGAAGAAGGTTTCTACAGAACTTGAGAAGTGGGGTTCCACTGAGTTTGAGACAAAAGGTTCCGCTGAGTTTAAGAAGACCCACTGATTTGGAGAAGAAGGGTCCCATTAAAATTGTGAAGTTCCTTTCTAAGTTGGAGAAGGGTCCTGCTGAGGTTGATAAAAATTTGAGTTCCTGAATTTGACAAGGGTCTCACTGACTTTGGCCGGAAGGGTCCCAGTGAGTCCTGATTACAGTGATTGACAGCTGGACTCCAGGACTAGTTGGGAGGGTCTGGTGGTAAGCCCCCTAAACCTGGTGGGCCCAGGCCACCTGCTCCATTTTTTCAATTATTAGAAAGATTCTGTATACAGTAAATATTTTCCACCAGGATTTGTCCTGTCCTGTCTGGTCCCCATCTCAACTCTCTTAGCATCATGCATGCAGTCCTGCCTGCAACCCCTAATGACAGCAGGATATAGCACCCTACCCAGAGGCTGACTGGTGAGATCTCATCATCTGAGGACATGCATAGGGGGTGTGACATCAGTCTAGTCAATCAATCCTTGCTCTGACTGGCATGGATGAGATGTAGTACCTGTAGTCCAACAGTCTTTCCATGAGACGCGTCACTGAGGTCACAAATGAGGCTCCCGGTTCTCTCCATGTCTCCTGCTCAATCTTCTCCAGCAAACTGATGGCAGAACCAACAAATGAGCATTAATATCAATCCATCTATCTCAGATATCAGGCAATGTAGCATTAAAAGTGTGACCTCAGAAGAAACAGAAAAGAACACAGACATTGAAATATGGACACCAGAGAACTGAAAAGGAAGAGAAAGACAGACATGGCAGTGAAGTATGGGGTCCTGTCACCTAACTAGACAAACGGGACTCCAGTCCAACAACAATTTTCTATCTGGAATTGTGAAAACACCTCATCCAAGTCAATGGATCCCTAGAGAATGACATCCATTTCCTGATACCGAGCCCTAAATACTCAGAAGTGAGGAACATTCCTTTCCAGAGACTTTCCACTCTCATCCCGGACTTCACTATGGAAGAGAAGAGGAAACCCCACAATCTATCGGGAGAAGAGGAGCCAACGTGGGAGACAGATGAACTATATATTACAACATGTCACAGAATTCGAGAGCATAATACATTGTAGGCTCTCCTCCTATCCCTGACCCCCGATAATGTCCCCCTTTATATTATCCCTGACCCCCGATAATGTCCCCCTTTATATTATTCCCTGACCCCCCGATAATGTCCCCCTTTATATTATCCCTGACCCCCGATAATGTCCCTGGACTCCCCTCCTATCCCCCTTATATTATCCCTTACCCCCGATAATGTCCCCCTTTATATTATCCCTGACCCCCGATAATGTCCCTGGACTCCCCTCCTATCCCCCTTATATTATCCCTTACCCCCGATAATGTCCCCGGACTCCCCTCCCGTCCCCCTTATATTATCCCTGACCCATGATAATGTCCCTGGACTCCCCTTCCAATCCCTCTTATATTATCCATAACCCCTGATAATGTCCCTGGACTCCCCCTTATATTATCCCCCAATATATATATATATATATATATATATATATATATATACACACACACACGCATATATTATATAACTGACCCCCAATAAAATGTCCCTGGACTCCCCTCCTATCCCCTTTACAGTGAGGAACAGAAATATTTGAACCCCCTGCGATTTTGCAAGTTCTCCCACTTCTCCATCATGGAGGGGTCTGAAATTCACATTGTAGGTACATTCCCACTCTGAGAGACAGAATTAAAAAAAAATTTCAGGAAATCCCATTGTATGATTTGTAAAGAATGTATTTGTCTCGCACGGCTGAACAGAAGTATTTGAACACCTAAGAAACAGCAAGAATTCTGCCTCTCAAACACCTGTTACTGCGCCTTTAAAAAGTCCACCTCTACTCCACTCATTAATCTAACTTAGTAGCACCTGTCTGAGCTCTTTAAAGACACCTGTCCACCCCACAGTCAGTCAGACGCCAGCTACTACCATGGGCAAGACCAAAGAGCTGTCAAAAGACACCAGAGACAAAATTTTGAACCTCCACAAGGCTGGAAAGGGCTACGGGGCAATTGCCAAGCAGCTTGGTGAAAATAGATCAACTGTTGGAGCAATTGTTAGAAAATGGAAGAGGCTAAAGACGACTGTCAGTCTCCCTCGGACTGGGGCTCCATGCAAGATGTCACCTCGTGGGGTATCACTGATGAGAAGAAAGGTGAGGAATCAGCCCAGAACTACAAGGGAGGAGCTGGTCAATGACATGAAGAGAGCTGGGACCACAGTTTCAAAGGTCACTGTCGGTAGAACACTACGCCGTCATGGTTTCAAATCATGCATTGCACGGAAGGTTCCCCTGCTCAAGTCATCACATGTCCAGGCCCGTCTGAAGGTTCCCCTGCTCAAGTCATCACATGTCCAGGCCCCTCTGAAGGTTCCTCTGCTCCAGTCATCACATGTCCAGGCCCGTCTGAAGGTTGCCAATGACCATCTGGATGATGCAGAGGAGGCATGGGAGAAAGTCATGTGGTCAGATGAGATCAAAGGAGAACTTTTTGGTCTAAACTTCATTCGTCGTGTTTGGAGGAAAAAGAAGGATCAGTTGCATCCCAAGAACACCATCCCTACTGTGAAGCAGGGGGGTGGTAACATCATGCTGTGGGGATGCTTTTCTGTGAAGGGGACAGGATGACTGCACTGTATTAAGGAGAGGATGAATGGGGCCATTTATTTGTGAGATTTTCAGCAACAACCTCCTTCCCTCAGTCAGAGCATTGAAGATGGGTCGTTCCTGGGTCTTCCAACATGACAACGACCCGAAGCACACAGCCAGGAGAACCAAGGAGTGGCTCCGTAAGAAGCATATCAAGGTTCTGGAGTGGCCTAGCCAGTCTCCAGATCTAAATCCAATAGAACATCTTTGGAGGGAGCTGAAACTCCGTGTTGCTCAGCGACAGCCCCGAAACCTGACAGATCTGGAGGAGATCGGTGTGGAGGAGTCGGACAAAATCCCTGTTGCAGTGCAAACCTGACCAAGGACTACAGGAGACGTCTGACCTCTGTAATTGCCAACAAAGGCTTCTGTACCAAATATTAACACGGATCTTCTCAGGGGTTCAAATACTTCTGTTCAGCCGTGCGAGACAAATACATTCTTTACAAATCATACAATGGGATTTCCTGAATTTTTTTTTTTAAATTCCGTCTCTCAGAGTGGGAATGCCCCTACAATGTGAATTTCAGACCCCTCCATGATTTCGAAGTGGGAGAACTTGCAAAATCGCAGGGGGTTCAAATACTTCTGTTCCTCACTGTATATTATCTCTTAGCCCAAAAAAATGTCCATTACCGCCCCCTGCCCCATCCAAGTAAATAGTATTTGAAAAAAGTGAGAGTGAAAAAAGACAGGAGAAGATGGGAGGGGATTATTCAGACACACCAATGAAGGGGGGGGGGGGGGTGAAGATTTCCCGGAATTGTTCAAAATATAAGAACAGCTTAATACCCCCATAACACAGGACATGGAAACAACAAGGAAGATCTAAGTTTCCCAACAGACACATCAACTGATATCACATCACACCATAGGGGGGGGGGCGCAGACTATCTATACACAGGTATCAGCAGCTATGAATGACCTCTAACCCCTCGACCCCAAAAGTCTCAGCATGTCCTGCTGGAACTTCCCCAACAGCAGGAGGATACAAACCGATACATCCAACACAATACAGGAAGGCATGCAATGATACTCAGTATACAAATGTCACAAAATATACATCGTCTCCCTTACCTGGGATACGGACCGAACAGCTGAGAGCTGCTCCAGGCAGCAGGATAGAGGCATAAATACAGAGAGAGATCACAATCTGAGACCAATCACCGCCATCGACTCCAACATAATGCTACCTACTACTATGATAATATATATATTAGAATGATAATATCATCAGCTGACAATTCCGGCCCTGTATGGGGAGCAATGGCAGGCAAATATATGATGCAACTGTTAGTGGAAAGATATGCATTTGCAGGACATGTGCAATCAACTGCTGCATGCGCCGAGTAGAAGGCTGCATCATGTCTTCCAGAAGCACTCTTGCAGCCCTTCTCAATCTGGCCACAAGAGATCATAGAAACATTGTTATATACTCACCAGCCACTTTGTTAGATTCCACCTTGCTAATGCCAAGAAAATCTCCCCCACACCATGACACCACCAGCCTGAACCGTGGATACAAGGCAGGATGGATCCATCACACCATGACACCACCACCACCAGCCTGAACCATTGATACAAGGCAGGATGGATCCCCCACACCATTACACCACCACCACCAGCCTGAACCGTGGATACAAGGCAGGATGGATCCATCACACCATGACACCACCACCACCAGCCTGAACCGTGGATACAAGGCAGGATGGATCCATCACACCATGACACCACCACCACCAGCCTGAACCGTGGATACAAGGCAGGATGGATCCATCACACCATGACACCACCACCACCACCACCCTGAACTATTGATACAAGGCAGGATGGATCCCCCACACCATGACACCACCACCACCAGCCTGAACCGTGGATACAAGGCAGGATGGATCCATCACACCATGACACCACCACCACCAGCCTGAACCATTGATACAAGGCAGGATGGATCCACACACCATGACACCACCACAACCAGCCTGAACCATGGATACAAGGCAGGATGGATCCCCCACACCATGACACCACCATCACCAGCCGGAACCGTTGATACAAGGCAGGATGGATCCCCCACACCATGACACCACCATCACCAGCCGGAACCGTTGATACAAGGCAGGATGGATCCCCCACACCTTGACACCACCATCACCAGCCGGAACCGTTGATACAAGGCAGGATGGATCCACCACACCATGACACCACCAGCCTGAAGCGTGGATACAAGGCAGGATGGATCCATGCTTTCATGTTATTTGCGCCAAATTCTGATCTGACCATCTGAATGTCGCAGCTGAAATCCAGACTCATCAGACCAGGCAACGTTTTTCCAATCTTCTATTGTGCAATTTTGGTGATCCTGTGCGAATTGTAGCCTTCGCTTCCTGTTCTTAGCTGACAGGAGTGGCACCCTGTGTGGTCTTCTGCTGACAGGAGTGGCACCCCGTGTGGTCTTCTGCTGACAGGAGTGGCACCCGGTGTGGTCTTCTGCTGACAGGAGTGGCACCCGGTGTGGTCTTCTGCTGCTGTAGCCCATCTGCTTCAAGGTTGGACATGTTGTGCGTTCAGAGATGGTATACTGCATACCTTGGTTGTAACGAGTGCTTATTGGAGTTCCTGTTGCCTTGCTATCATCTCCAACCAGTCTGCCCATTCCCCTCTGACCTCAACAAGGGATTTTCCTATACTCACTGGATATTTCTCTTTTTTCGGGCCATTCTCTGTAAACCCTAGAGATGGTTGTGTGTGAAAATCCCAGTTTTTGAAATCCTCAGACCAGCCCGTTTGGCACCAAAACCATGTCAAACTCAAAGTCACTTAAATCCCCTTTTTTTCCCCGACTTCAGCAAGTCGTCTTCACCACGTCTAGATGCCTAAATGCATTGAGTTACTGCCATGTGATCGGCTGATTAGCACTTTGTGTTACCGAGCCATGGAACAGGTGGACCTAATAAAGTGGCCGGTGGGTGTATCTTGGGTTTCGGTGAATTGGGTGGACGCTCTCGTTGCTGATGTATTGCCCGGCCAGCACCATGGATTTAGCTGTTGTCTGGACTCTCCCATCCCCGTGGTTTATGAAACTTTCTTTCTTTCTCCATTAAAGAAAAGTTGGGACTTACAGGAGGCTGAAGAGTTCTCGGTAGTTTTCGTCGCCTTTCCCCTCTGAGACCAGCGAGTCCAGTTTATCGATCAGCTCGGCCTCCACCTGCAAAGACACGGATGAATGTGAAGAGCAGCACAGTGGATAAGGGGTTAACTCTCTTACGGCGCAGAGGTTCTTTGCTCAAATCTCACCATAGTGATTGTGTATTCTCCCTTGAAGGACAGTAAAATGAAGAATGGTAGAGGGGGGGGACGGGGGAGCATCACTGGATCTATGGATTGTTTGCTAAGTAGATCATTTCACAGACTGCTCTCAAAGGATCTTAAAGTGTTACTAAACCCGCAACAGTCCAAACAGTCTGTAGATGCAGTAAAGCATGCTTGTTATACTCACTGTGGGACCTAAGGGGTTAATCCTCTGCACTGTGCAAAAAGGCTGTTTGATCCTGGCTTCCCTGATCCTCCCCTTCTTCTACTGTCACAATCCTTCTGCTGATAGTACAGAGCCTTGGGGGCAAGCTGCACATGCTCAGTTTGGTGTGTATTGCTAGAGTTTTTTTGTCTTGGGAGGGTGCATGTGATAAGCACAGGGCCAATCAGCGTTGTCCAGACAGAAGGTCAGGGGTCTTGCGCCTCATAGGATAGTCAGAGGAGAATGAAAACACCTCCTACAAGCTTTAACCAGTGCTCAGCTGGTCACTGATAGAAGTCACAAGACTGCTATATACTGCTGATGATGAAAGGTATTTAGCAGTTTATATTTACTAAAACAATTGCATTTCCATGTTCTGTGTACTGTGGGAGAGCGGATATAGGGAATGCGGGGTCCGGGGAGAGCGGATATAGGGAATGCAGGGTCCAGTGAGAGCGGATATAGTGAATGCGGGGTCCGGGGAGAGCGGATATAGGGAATGCGGGGTCCGGGGAGAGCGGATATAGTGAATGCGGGGTCCAGGGAGAGCGGATATAGGGAATGCGGGGTCCGGGGAGAGCGGATATAGGGAATGCGGGGTCCGGGGAGAGCGGATATAGTGAATGCGGGGTCCAGTGAGAGCGGATATAGTGAATGCGGGGTCCGGGGAGAGCGGATACAGTGAATGCAGGGTCCGGGGAGAGCGGATATAGGGAATGCGGGGTCCGGGGAGAGCGGATATAGTGAATGCGGGGTCCAGTGAGAGCGGATATAGTGAATGCGGGGTCCAGTGAGAGCGGATATAGTGAATGCGGGGTCCGGTGAGAGCGGATATAGTGAATGCGGGGTCCGGGGAGAGCGGATATAGTGAATGCGGGGTCTGGGGAGAGCGGATATAGTGAATGCGGGGTCCGGGGAGAGCGGATATAGTGAATGCGGGGTCCGGGGAGAGCGGATATAGTGAATGCGGGTTCGGGGGGAGAGCGGATATAGTGAATGCGGGGTCCGGGGAGAGCGGATATAGTGAATGCGGGGTCCGGGGAGAGCGGATATAGTGAATGCGGGGTCCGGGGAGAGCGGATATAGTGAATGCGGGGTCCGGGGAGAGCGGATATAGTGAATGCGGGGTCCGGGGAGAGCGGATATAGTGAATGCGGGGTCCGGGGAGAGCGGATATAGTGAATGCGGGGTCCGGGGAGAGCGGATATAGTGAATGTGGGGTCCTGGGGAGAGCGGATATAGGGAATGCAGGGTCCAGTGAGAGCGGATATAGTGAATGCGGGGTCCGGGGAGAGCGGATACAGGGAATGCGGGGTCCGGGGAGAGCGGATATAGTGAATGCGGGGGTCCGGGGAATGCGGGGTCCGGGGGAGAGCGGATATAGTGAATGCGGGGTCCGGGGAGAGCGGATATAGTGAATGCGGGGTCCGGGGAGAGCGGATAGCGGATATAGTGAATGCGGGGTCCTGGGGAGAGCGGATATAGTGAATGCAGGGTCCGGGGAGACCGGATATAGTGAATGCGGGGTCCGGGGAGAGCGGATACAGGGAATGCGGGGTCCGGGGAGAGCGGATATAGTGAATGCGGGGTCCAGGGGAGAGCGGATACAGTGAATGCGGGGTCCGGGGAGAGCGGATATAGTGAATGCAGGGTCCAGGGAGAGCGGATATAGTGAATGCGGGGTCCGGGGAGAGCGGATACAGGGAATGCGGGGTCCGGGGAGAGCGGATATAGTGAATGCGGGGTCCGGGGAGAGCGGATACAGGGAATGCGGGGTCCGGGGAGAGCGGATATAGTGAATGCGGGGTTCGGGGAGAGCGGATATAGTGAATGCGGGGTCCGGGGAGAGCGGATATAGTGAATGCGGGGTCCGGGGAGACCAGATATAGTGAATGCGGGGGTCCGGGGAGAGATGATATAGTGAATGCGGGGTCCGGGGAGAGCGGATATAGTGAATGCGGGGTCCGGGGAGAGCGGATACAGTGAATGCGGGGTCCGGGGAGAGCGGATACAGTGAATGCGGGGTCCGGGGAGAGCGGATATAGTGAATGCGGGGAAAAGGGAGAGCGGATATAGTGAATGCGGGGTCCGGGGAGAGCGGATACAGTGAATGCGGGGTCCGGGGAGAGCGGATACAGTGAATGCGGGGTCCGGGGAGAGCGGATATAGTGAATGCGGGGAAAAGGGAGAGCGGAGAGCTTTTACAGCCTTTATGGGTGTAAAAGAAATCAGTGTAAAAAAAGAAAAAAAATCTTCATCACCCCCCACTGACACTGTACTGCTAGGGTGACAGTATGTAAACAAAAAAAAACATAAATAATATTAAAAAAAAAATAAAAATGTAAAAAAAACATTTTGAAAAATTATAATTTTTGGTAATAAACCAATTTGGGTTATTTTTTTTTTACTAAAAAGATAAATGAATACAGATGAAGATAGATTTTTTATTTATAAAATATTTATAAGAAAAACACTCTTTTTTCCCAAACATTTTTGGACTTTTTAATTTATATAGCAAAAAAGCAAATTTCCCAGCGGTGAATAAATACCACCAAAATAATGTTTTATCTGTCTCCAAAAAAAGAAATGCTAAAAAATTCATACGGGTACAGTGTTGCATGACCGCGCAATTGTCACTCAAAGTGTGATAGCGCTGAAAGCTGAAAATTGGCCTGGGCAGGAAAGGGGGGGAAAGTGTCCGGACTGGAAGGGGGGAAAGTGTCCGGACTGGAAGGGGGGAAAGTGTCCGGACTGGAAGTGGGGGGGAAAGTGTCCGGACTGGAAGGGGGGGAAAGTGTCCGGACTGGAAGGGGGGGAAAGTGTCCGGACTGGAAGGGGGGGGAAAGTGTCGGGACTGGAAGGGGGTGAAAGTGTCGGGACTGGAAGGGGGGGAAAGTGTCCGGACTGGAAGGGGGGGAAAGTGTCCGGACTGGAAGGGGGGAAAGTGTCCGGACTGGAAGGGGGTGAAAGTGTCCGGACTGGAAGGGGGAAAGTGTCCGGACTGGAAGGGGGGGAAAGTGTCCGGACTGGAAGTGGTGAATATTGGGGTACACAACTAAAATGAAGGTTGGGGGCCACTGATGTAGACAAAATCTGCCAGATTGGCACCTTCCTCATTATTCTTTTACGACGTAAAATCAAAATTTAGATTTTGATAGACAGACCCCAGAAGTCCGGTGTGTCTCCCACCTGCTTGAAATTGCCGTTCCGCCTTTGTTCACAGTCCATCATGTCGTGGAAAATGGGGATCATTATATTTCGCACCTCTGGCTGCGGGACTAGCGATACGCCCAGGAAAGGGCCAATCATCCCCGGGATGAAGTGATATTTGTGCTCTCCTAGGAGATAAAGAGTAAGCGTGATATACAGAGGAAAGCAATCCTGCCAGGACAGGACCCCCCATTCCAGGACCCCCATTCCCCCCCCCCCCCGCCCATTCCAGGACCACCCCATCCCAGCTTCAGAAACTCACCCAGGTTCTGCCACATGTTGAAGAGCTCATAGGTCATCATAACTCGCATATCGCCGTATCTGGAAGAGACAGCCAATCACAGCCCAGAAATGCCACACATATGGGAACAGAGACTCATAAGTGCGTCGCTAGGTTGGGGGCCCATTCACACCCATTCATTTTAATGCAGGTGAATGCATGTACTCAGCTTAGCCATTGTTTGAAATTATTTTATTGCTTGAATTTGCTCAGTTCCTGGGCAGTTTGGTCGAATCGCCTGCAAAATAAGCAAACCCCCCCCCCCCCAAAAAACATGAAACCCGCCACCAATAAAGTCAATGGTGACTGACTTGGGGTGGATTGTACACGCCGCGCTGCTGCCCCCAAATGACAGATTACCCAGGTTTGGTCAATGACATCACTTGGGATTCTACAGTCGGGGATCTATCATTTGGTGGAGGGAGTGCTGCATGTACAGCAACGGGTCACTACGATCAATGCTAGATTTACATCGCCGTGATTGACGCCGGATTTAATTCTAGGGACGTTACTCAACTACGGGGGACACAGAAGTGGGGAAAAGGCCCTTGCCCCTCAACAGTGGGTAACCCGATGCCGCTGTTTCACCGAGTGTGTACCGTCACTTTAAGTTTTCTATGTGTGATCTGATTCTGGGATTTCCATGGAATCCCTAGGTGACACCACTGACCATAAAAGGACAACTGATCATAAAGTGCATTGGAGGGCCCAAAGATGGCAACGGCAACTCGATTGTTCAGAGACGCACGAACGTGTGCACCGAGGGGTTGAGAAGACTCAATTCAAACAGACGCTAAGGCTGGATTCAGCATTCCATGCAGGGCTGCTGTCAGAAACCATGGGGCCCCATACAGCCAATGAGACAGGGCCCCCAAGTAAACACAGCTTCAGTTATGAACACAGTGAGTGATCAGTACTAATCACTCGTTGTGTTCATTCAGGAACAGAAGGGGCTGGTAAATGTGATATATTTACAGACCCATCCCCCATTTTTCATCATAAGGATCCTATAGTGTGCTGGAAAGGATAGGAGAGAGGGTGGGGGCACACGGGGGTTTTGTGAAGCATGGGGAAATGTATGGTGCGATCAGTTCCAGCAATTGCCCCCCTCCCCCCTGATGTGCCGATCACCCTCCCTGCCCACATCCAATTCACTCAGCTGCCCAGGCCCCCCCTGCTGTTCTGGACTCCGTACAGGAGGAGGACCAGGGGTACCCCCTTATCCACGGCCCTGGTTCCATGTGCATTGCAGCGTGCATAGTATCCCAACAGGCTCAAAGGATTTCCCACACCTAACTGCATGGCATAGATGGGAACCGGCCCCATAGGGAATAATGAGAAATGCATGTTCATGGATCTACTGTATACGCACGGTGCATGAAAACGAATGAGTGGGACCGAACCCTTCATGATGTATACACAGCGCCCCCTATCATCTGGTGTTAGCACTGCAGTGCGTGGCACACCCACCCGGTTCCCGCTCCGCAGAGGGGCCCAACTTACTTGTCCAAGATGCGTCTCCTTTTTCCCGCTGCAAAGTTTTCCAGCTGTAGACTGGGCTGATTGATGAAAAGAACGGCCAGACTGAAGTAGGAGTTCCACACCTAGAATGGGAGAGGCAGAGGCAGACCGTTGTGCAGCATTTTTCCACGTTTTTCAGTGTTACAGCGTTTTTACAGGTAAAAAACTTCTCTAGAAACCCGCTAAGTCCTGTTTTTTTTTTTTCCAGCCAAAAATCGTCCCTGCCAAAAAAAAAACATTGATTCCAGTCTATGTGTGTATGGACACATAGGAGAACATGCTGGGGGAGTTTACTGACTGTAGAAAAAAAGGTCAAAAGCCAAAAAAAAGCCGCTGTAAAAACGCCCCCCCCCCCAGCATGTTCTCCTATGTGTCCATGCACACAGCCGTTGAGCGGCCTAATATTTGCGTACCGCCCTGCGCGCTCCCAGCACATGGGTCAGTGTCCCACAGAAAGGTCCCGATCACACCTTGCGATCGAGACCTTTTCCGATCATGTGACTGCCGTGACAGCCAATCACAGCGGTAACATGACCCTAAACTCCCAGCATCAGAAACCCCCTAAAGGCGCCAGTGCAAAGGGGTTAATGTTTCAGCGGTCAGTGGGCTTCCCTGCTGACAGCTGAATATCAAAAGAATTTCCAGCAATTCATTTTTTTTTTTTTAACAGCATGGAGTCCCCCCCGCCATCCATACCAAGCCCTTCGGGTATGGATTTCAAAGGGAACTCCCATGCCAACAGTTTTTCAAAAATGGCGTGGGGGTCCACCCCAAATTCCATACCAGACCCATATCCGAGCATGCAGCCCGGCAGGTCAGGAAAGGGGGGGGGGGGGGACGAGCGAGCGCCCCCTCCTGAACCATATCAGACCACATGCGCTCAACATGGGTGGGGTGTTTTGGGGCAGTGTGGGCACATGGGGGGGGGGGTTCTTTGGGGATGGGGATGGCTCCCCCCCAAAGCACCTTGTGTCCATGTTGATGGAGATAAGGGCCTCTTCCCCACAACCGTGGCCGGTGGTTTTGGGGATCTGTGGGCGGGGGGCTTATCGTAATCTTGAAGCCCCCTTTAACAAGGGGGCCCCCAGATCCCACCCCCCCCCTATGGGATACATGGTAGCCCCCGCTACTCATTCACAAAAAAGAAGACAGGCTTTGATAAGTGCTTTATTAAAAACAACATAAAAAAAAAAATTCCCCCGAAGTAGATCCAACGTCACTCACAATGCCCGCTGCTGACCCAACCACCCCCCCCCCCCCCACAAAAGAAAAATGCTTCACTCTTGACATTGGCCACCTGTGATAGCATGGGTAGGTGACAGGTCCTCTTTATGGTGGAGGGGAGACATTGGAGGTCTATTAGACCCCCAATGTCTCCCCTGCCCTCTGCTGCAGCTAATCAAGCACAGATCATGCTACAGTAGCCAAGGAATTACAGCTGTGAACCTGTAAGTCACTTGATGCACATCGCTTCCAGGTTCATTCGCTGCAGAGGGCATCAGGGAGCAGACATTCCCTAATCTCCTCCTGCTCTATCTGTAGTAGCAGTTTCCTGCAGTCCTCTTCCTCTGGGGAGGAACCACAGCTGACGTGGCTGGCAAAGAGGGAGAGGCAACACACTTTCAGAGCCCCATAAATGAATAACCCTCACATGTTAACAAGCTTCCTATGTGATACCATGGGTAGGCAACAGGTCCTCTTTATGGAGGCATCGGTGGTCTATTAGACCCCCGATGCCTCCCCTGCCCTCCATTGCAGCTAATCATGCGCAGACCATGCTTGATTATTTGCATCCTTGGCTACAGCAGACAACAGAATTACAGCTGTGAACCGAACACACGTCACCTCTGGGTTCAGTAGTTGCAGGGGGCATTGTAGTAGCGGTTTCCTGAAGTCTTGTTCCTCTGGGGAGGAACCACAGCTGACGCCGCTGGCAAGGGGTAGGGGAGCCCCGAAAAACTGATCGGGCAGCAGCAGTAATGACTGCTGTTCACCATTGGATTTATAAATGTACCTCCTGGGTGGACAAGGGGTCTTACCCATGTGTGCTTCCACTCTTGGCCACACTGGATCCATTACTGGAGGTTCATGTAGTCCTTACCTTGAAATCAAAGTCTCCTTCACAGAAGTTCTTGTGTACGGCGGGTGACACGTACTGGACGGTGGTCACGATGATGCTGCAAAAAAAAGGAAAAGGCCATTGGTGGTCATGTTCTAGTGATCTTTTGCCAAGAAAGCCCAAATCCAGCCAAAATGTTTGTTTTTTTTTCTAGTTCTACAGGAATGTGGAAGGGTGAAGACCTCCTTCAGCTTTTTACTTTCATTGGTGTCCTCGCTGTGGAAATTTCCCTTCACTTCCTGTCTCCTAGTCAGAGCAGGACATTGGTGGAAATCTCCCCACTGGGCTCATAGAAAGATCGAAAACAGAATCAGCGACCCTGGCGGTCTCTTACTTGCTGGCCAAAAGCCTCATCACGGTCCAGTCCGGCGGGAAGACGCTCAGCTTCAACAAATTACGAAACACGCAGAAAATCTTCAGCAGGAATTCCTGAGAAAAAAAAAAAAAAGTGTAAAAGAATATCTAAATCAAGTTGGTGTCAATGCTAAGACATGGCGCCAAAAACTCCAACCAAAACATTCATCAGGGCCTAAAAACAGCTGGTATGGACTCAAACTGTAATCCAGCTAGTTGCAGACTTTGGGCATGCTACACACGTCCAAAACAAATTCATCATAATACACAGGGTGTGTGTAGCACGTCCAGTCTCTTACACCATCTCATCGCCATGTCTCACCTTGAGCTCCTCCTTGCTCTGGAAGTTGTGCAGTAGGTGTTGGTAATGAGTGTCTGACATCAGTCGCAGTAGAGACAGCAGGCAAGAGACATACTCCCCCTACAGGGGACAGAGAGGCACAACAATCACTGTGTGCGTCCAAATTCGGTCACGCATAAAAGACTATGTCACTGATTCCACAGAAGCTCATCGAATATGTACAAATATAAACTCGAGTATCGCATTTTCAAAGTTTTCACATGATAAACATGACATCAGTCGATTCTACGTCAGGAAACATTACAGGGGTCTAGTTATAAAAAAAAAGAAAATTGCTGTATGAATGTGACAAACATTTGTAGAGCCCAGACAAAAAATGTGTATAATGTGATTATTTCCTATGATCGTCAGCGCCATCTAATGGCCGTAATGTGGTATTTTTCCAGAAATATCTCAGTCAGTAAAAATACTGAGTTATGGTAGCTAGGTGGCGCTGTTGATCTTAGAAAAAAATCATATCAGACAAAACGCAAGTTTTTGTTGCAATTTTGTGAATGTTTATCTTTTTTTCTTTTTTTTTTTTGTACAAATAGACCCTATAGTGTATTTAAATGAAATCTATATATCTCTGAACCGGCTGGAAGACATCAGTGTACTCAGGGGGAGAAAACAAGGGTTCATAATCATGCTTTCACCCCGGGGGATCCTCAGGCTCCCCACATATAACTATATCATTTGTTACTTGTATTAGTTGTTACAATGTTGCAGTTTTTTCAGAGAACCTCTAGAATTGGACAAAATCTAACCTTGCAATGCCTCCCCCGCATACACTGTAAGGGTTAAATGCCCCCCTCCCCCCCTCACACACTGTAAGGGTTAAATGCCCCCCCCGCACACACTGTAAGGGTTAAATGCCCCGCCCCCCCCGCACAAACTGTAAGGGTTAAATGCCCCCCCCCGCACACACTGTAAGGGTTAAATGCCCCCCCCCCGCACACACTGTAAGGGTTAAATGCCCCCCCCGCACACACTGTAAGGGTTAAAATGCCCCCCCCCCCCCGCACACACTGTAAGGGTTAAATGCCCCCCCCCCCGCACACGTTAAATGCTTGTTCAGTCTAGGGGGGCGGGGAGTTACGGTGTGATACTTACCTTATTCTTGGCTTCATCAGGCTTCTTCCGAGTGACCGGCTCAGTACTGCGGCCTCCATAAAGTGCTCTCAGACACAGTCATATGCTTGCCTATGGGGTTGATAGCCCTGCACTGCACAGGATGGCGCTGAGGGATCGCCTACAGCCCAGAGCTTTGAGTAGAAGAGAACAGAGCTGGAGGCGGATGGACCTAGGGATAGGGTAAGTAATACACCTTATCCCTGCACCCCGAAACTAAATGGACATTTAACCCTTGCAGTGCCGGAGGGGGGTAGGGGAAGGGCCACTGCAAGGGTTGTTGTATTCCTGGCGTTTAGCTTTAACAGAACCCTCCCACAATGGGGAGATTTCCCCCAGTAGTTTGTGTCTCTGCCCCTCCCACAATGGGGAGAATTCCCGCAGTAGTTGTGTCTCTGCCCCTCCCACAATGGGGAGAATTCCCGCAGTAGTTGTGTCTCTGCCCCTCCCACAATGGGGAGATTTCTCGCAGTAGTAGTTTTTGTGTCTGTGCCCCTCCCACAATGGGGAGATTTCCCCCAGTAGTTTGTGTCTGTGCCCCTCCCACAATGGGGAGATTTCCCCCAGTAGTTTGTGTCTCTGCCCCTCCCACAATGGGGAGATTTCCCGCAGTAGTTTTGTGTCTCTGCCCCTCCCACAATGGGGAGATTTCCCGCAGTAGTTTGTGTCTCTGCTCCTCCCACAATGGGGAGATTTTCCCCAGTAGTTTGTGTCTGTGCCCCTCCCACAATGGGGAGATTTCCCCCAGTAGTTTGTGTCTGTGCCCCTCCCACAATGGGGAGATTTCCCCCAGTAGTTTGTGTCTGTGCCCCTCCCACAATAGGGAGATTTCCCCCAGAAGTTTGTGTCTGTGCCCCTCCCACAATAGGGAGATTTTCCCCAGTAGTTTGTGTCTCTGCCCCTCCCACAATGGGGAGATTTCTCGCATTAGTTTGTGTCTCTGCCCCTCCCACAATGGGGAGATTTCCCGCAGTAGTTTGTGTCTCTGCCCCTCCCACAATGGGGCGAGTTCCCATTCTCCTAGGTATCACAGTCCCTGATATGAGGACCACCCTGTGATTCAGCTCTCGGTTTTGGGTGGGGAGGATCTGCTGTTCCCAGAAACTGATTCTTTGTCCCCCCTTTTCTCAGATGCGGGCGATCGCCCCTTTAGTCACAAAGCATGAGCCCGATGTTACCAGTCCGCTCGGTATACGGGGTTTCTCGCCCAGGCCCTGCAATGCCGGTCCGGTGCCCTAGTATGGTGGAGCGCGGAGGGTGATGGGATGGGGCGGGGGAGGGGTTAGAAAGAAGAAATGAAAGTTAGTTACTAACAGTGATCTCGGCGGTGCACTGGGGGCAGCGCTGGCCTCTTACCGCCTCCTGCGACTGCGATTTACTCATGATGATGAGCAGCGTCTGTAGAAGGACGTCCAGCAAACTTTCCTGCAACATCTGGACCTCCTCGCCCACATCGACCTCCTGCCGGGAGTAACAAAAGGTCGGCCTATATATATATATACGATCGATATCATAGAACTGATAATAAATAATAAGAAATGTAACAATATAAAATATATAATATCAATATAGAGACCAGGCCGACCTCCAGCGCTTTGGCGGCTTGATTGGATAGCCCCCCCCCTTTTGTAAAAATGTTATTATTTATAATTTTTTTTCTGCCCTATTGGGGTACAGGGGAAGCTTCGGTGAAATTTTTGGGGTCTAAAGAGACCCCCTAATGTCTCACTTTTGAGAGAGAAAGAAATTGATGACACAGATCCCCCTCAGCTGCACTGCAGATGAATGAAGAGGAAGTGCTCTGTGCAGATGCTCCTGTTCATTCACAAACTGAAGCATAGGAAAAGCAGTTTACTAGGCTTCAGTTAGGAATGAACACTGGAGAAATCGGTAGTGATCACTGTCTGTGTTCATTCAGGAAATGAATGACATGTTTTTACCACCCCTGCTCTCCATCCTGAAACTGATCCCTAATTGTGTGGGAGGGAGAGGAGGAGAGGCTGGGGGATGGGCAATCCCTGAATCTGATCCCCCGTGTCCCCCCTGTAGCTGACAGCCAGAGTGAGGGAGAGGAGAAGAATCCGTAAGCATTGAGGGGGGTTACAGGGGGATCCAAGCTGCAGGGGAAGGGGATCGTAGGCAGAAGCGGGGTGATCAGAGAGTCTGGGGCAATTCCTGAAACGTATCCCCTGTGGCCCCCCCTGTAACTGACAGCCGGGTGAGGGAGAGGAGAAGAAGCTGGCAGCAATGAGGAGTCTGTGTGTGTGTGTGTGTGTGGGGGGGGGGGGGTTACAGGGGGATCCAAGATGCAGGGGAAGGGGATCGTGGACAGGAGCGGAGGGGCTGGGGGATGGGAAATCCCTGAAACGTATCCCCTGTGGCCCCCCTGTAGCTGACAGTCTGTGTGAGGGAGAGGAGAAGAAGCCGGCAGCAATGAGGAGTCTGTGTGTGTGTGTGTGTGTGTGTGGGGGGGGGTTACAGGGGGATCCAAGATGCAGGGGAAGGGGATCGTGGACAGGAGCGGAGGGGCTGGGGGATGGGAAATCCCTGAAACGTATCCCCTGTGGCCCCCCTGTAGCTGACAGTCTGTGTGAGGGAGAGGAGAAGAAGCCGGAAGCAATGAGGAGTGTGTGTGTGTGTGGGGGGGGGGTTACAGGGGGATCCAAGATGCAGGGGAAGGGGATCGTGGACAGAAGCGGGGGTGATCAGAGAGTCTGGGACAATTCCTGAAACGTATCCCCTGTGGCCCCCCCTGTAGCTGACAGTCGGTGTGAGGGAGAGGAGAAGAAGCCAGCTGCGCTGCTGATAGAAAGGGGGGGGGGGGGGTCCAGCTGTGACCAGTAGCTCTTGGATCTGCCTGCACCAAAAAGCTGGCGGGGCCCCTTCTGTTGGATTGATGGAGCCCGGGCACTGCACAGGGGGGGGGGGGGGGGCTGATGCTACCCCTTATTAGCGACCCTGCACAGAATGCTCATTGTGGCACCTTCTATCAATTGAGCTGTGATTTTACCGCCTCTCTTCGCAAAGACCCAAACTAACATGGCCGGCAGTCATGTTAGCACACACAGATGCGGGCGCAATGCGCAGAAAATTCTACCGCCTTCCCATTCCGCTTGCCAGTCGACCCAATCAAGTGCACGGGCCCCCGCAGCAACTGCTCTGGTACACTGTAAGGCACGGCGCTGACAGCTTTCGAATGCCTCCAGAAAGCGATCCACCGCGGATAGCTTTTCAGAGGTCCGGCAAACGCGGCGGCACGTCAGCGCGAGGCCTTCCAGAGTGCAGCGCTCTTGCGTGTCTACTGCAAATGGATTACAAAGTGGATTAACATACAATTTCATTTGCTTTCTACTATTTTTAATCTGTTTCTCTTTTTTCGGTGGAGAATCTCTAGAAATAAACAGATTAAAAAAAAAAAAAAAAATGGAAAGATAACAAAATGTAACAATTGCGTGAAGAAAGAAAAAGCATTAAAAAAAACAAGATTAAAGGATTGAAAGCTGAAGTATAATCAGCTTATGTGGTTCCTCCTGCTCCCCCCCCCCATCCCCCACCCCGACCCCACGAGAGGAATTTGTACATAAAACCTGTTTTTATTGCATACCTTTTTTAGACCCAGTGATGTCATCACTGGGTTTCTGTGCTTCTCTATGAAATGCAGGCATATTATGGCATTCCTGCAGCCACTGAGAAATAATGTGTGAGCTGTTATTGGTCACAGCTTGTCACATGGTACAGGGCTGTTGTGAATGGCCCTGTACCATGTGATCTCTGTGATCATTCACAGATTTCACACGTAGTGACATCATTGCTTGCTACTATTCATGTGATCACTGATTGGCCAATCAGTGATCACATGATTGGGACCTCACACAGAGGTCCCGTACGACGATCGGTGTTCCACTGTGTCCGGAGGACACAGCGGGTACCGGATCGCAGTGCTGCGCGCTCCCACGGAGTGTGTGCACAAGCAGGGGGCGGGGAGGACGTTTATAAACTGCAACCCGCCCCTGCGCTGCCACCGTCCGGCCGTTTATATACAACAGCCGGACAGGAAGTGGTTAATTTTGGACAGATTCACACAGATCGAATGTAAATGTAGATTCACCGGAGGAAAGTCTGTTTTTTTTTTTTAATAAACCGACCCGTTAAAGTGAACCCGCGTCATTTCTGGGGGGGTGAGTAAAGGGAGTCACTGTGATTGGCTGAGCCCGTTCTTACCGCTGAGCTGCTCTTTATGATGGAGAAGATGCTGCTAAGAATTCCGGAACAGACCAGCAACTCCTTCTGTTGGCGCAGGTGAAGGTGGATGTGGTGCAGCACCACCGGCAGCAGAATCCGGCGCGCCTCTGGGGAGGAGACACGGACACCGTCAAATCAGATCTAGGTTTTCCCAGCATGCATCAGTATTACAGAGCAACACGGAACATATAAGAACAAATGTATATCCATCATTTATAAATTCTGCAAAAAAGACACCTTTCACCTGAATATTATATGCACTAAATTCAGCAGGCCTTTAATAGTGCCCCACAAACCAAAAAAGGGTGCACGTTAGCAGACGTATGTGGGTGCCATTAGGGCTTCATCCCACCGCTGCCCATCTGCTAAGGACAGTGCGTCTCGGTGAGTGTTGGACAAACGCACGATTTTGGGCACGCCAAGGTACGAACCTAACCTAAATTATTCAGAAAATGTTACAAAAACTGTTTTTTGGGAGGTTGGGGGGGGGGGGGGGGGGGGTAATGTTCCTCACCTGGGAAAGAGAAGAGGCGACAGTCGACCGTCCGGCCGATAGACTGCAGCTTGACCACATCCATGGACTGTCCTAGATGCAGCGTGCTCGGGAGACTGCTGAGAGTGCCCCGAACGAACTCCGCCACCTCCGTCACTGAGAACATGGGCAGCAACTCCTCGAAGATGGCGGGGAAGGAGCTGAGCAGGGCGGCCTGCAAGAAGGAGCAGAGGGGTCAAGGATGGATGGACGCCGGGGACCGTGCAACAATACATAGGACACGCAGAACGCATAAAAGGACGCACACACGACGCACAGCAGGAAATCTGTTCTACGGCTACAAGTCCCAGCATTCATTGTTAATGGCAGGACTTTTTTTCCTAGAGAGTAAGTGCAGGAACTCCACCCTTCTTAGTCACCCCTTGTCCCCACCCCTACCCACCCGAGTACTGTCCCTTGCTTCCACCCCCTTCCCACCCCTGAGCACCGTCCCTTAATTCCACCCCCTACCCACCTCCGAGCACCATCCCTTAATTCCACCCCCTACCCACCCCTGAGCACCGTCCCTTGGTTCCACCCCCCTACCCACCTCCAAGCACCATCCCTTAATTCCACCCCCTACCCACCTCCGAGCACCATCCCTTAATTCCACCCCCTACCCACCTCCGAGCACCATCCCTTAATTCCACCCCCTACCCACCTCTGAGCACCATCCCTTGGTTCCACCCACTACCCACCCTCCGAGCACCATCCCTTAATTCCACCCCCTACCCACTCCTGAGCACTGTCCCTTGGTTCCACCCCCTACCCACCACTGAGCACCGTCCCTTAATTCCACCCACTACCCACCACTGAGCACCATCCCTTAATTCCACCCACTACCCACCTCTGAGCACCATCCCTTAATTCCACCCACTACCCACCTCTGAGCACCATCCCTTGGTTCCCACCCCCTACCCACCTCTGAGCACCATCCCTTAATTCCACCCCCTACCCACCTCTGAGCACCATCCCTTGGTTCCACCCCCTACCCACCTCTGAGCACCATCCCTTGGTTCCACCCCCTACCCACCTCTGAGCACCATCCCTTAATTCCACCCCCTACCCACTCCTGAGCACCATCCCTTGGTTCCACCCCCTACCCACCTCTGAGCACCATCCCTTAATTCCACCCCCTACCCACTCCTGAGCACCATCCCTTGGTTCCACCCCCTACCCACCACTGAGCACCATTCCTTAATTCCACCCACTACCCACCACTGAGCACCATCCCTTAATTCCACCCCCTACCCACCTCTGAGCACCATCCCTTAATTCCACCCCCTACCCACCTCCGAGCACCATCCCTTAATTCCACCCCCTACCCACCCCTGAGCACCATCCCTTAATTCCACCCCCTACCCACCACTGAGCACCATCCCTTAATTCCACCCCCTACTGAGCACCATCCCTTAATTCCACCCCCTACCCACCACAGAGCACCATCCCTTAATTCCACCCCCTACCCACCACAGAGCACCATCCCTTGGTTCCACCCACTACCCACCCCTGAGCACCGTCCCTTGGTTGCAGCCCCTACCCACCCCTGAGCACCGTCCCTTGGTTCCACCCCCTGTATGTTCTCACTATTTTACTGCTTTTCTTGCTATCATTATCACCTTCTACAAAAAATACTTTGCACCACAAAATGATAATTGGTTCTGTGGAGAGGGAGAAACAGCAAATATGCTAATTAGATACAATGCTCTCCCTAAGTTAAAGCAGTATGGTCCAAACTCATGATTATTGATGGAAGCGGGGGATGGTGGGAGAGGTGATCTGTAGTAACAGTGTGTGGCTGGTCCAAGAAACTGAGTGGGTGGGGAAATGTGATAGAGCATTTGCATATTTTTGAATAATCACGCACTGAGCCCAGGGAAGGAGGATACAAATCATCATTCCATCATTCCTGCTTGCGGGGATGATTGGTTGTATAGTACCCCTGCTGGTAGGATGGGGGTCCTGATGGTTAGTACAGGCTGGAACAGAAACCGAGGCGCCCACAGGCTGCTGGGGCCCGGGAGTAATTCCCCCTGGAAAACCGGAGGGGCCCAGTTCCTCCTGATTTGAACGGATCTTCCTTGTCTGGCCAGGGAGGCAGAAAGTCCCCGAACCAGTGCCCCCTGAGAGTGGTTGCCTCAGGAGCGCTCTTAGTAACACTTGGGTGTGGGACCCCAACGTGTGAAAAGGCACATGGGCACTGATTCAACACTTTTCCTGCACTGCGCCTTTTAGGGTTAGGCCTTTTGGCTAAGTCCTGGGCAATTTTTGCTACGGGCCTCAGGGCCTCACCAGGGCACAATCTGCACGGCCACTTATTTATTTAATTTATTTTTCTTCTCACGTTTGTCACTTTTGTGTGTGTTTTCTTTTCTCACAGGATGGAGGGTGTGGGTCCTCGGGCCTACCCTGAAGTCTAGGGGGAGGATGTGTGGCCTTTTGGTTCCTTCCTCCCTGTCCCTAGGTGGTTTTCTCTTCGGGAGAGCCCCCTTACCAAGTACTGAGTGGCTGGCTTCGGCTGGCCACAAGGAACGGGGTCCGCCAGGCGTTTTGGCCAGGAGGACCACATGGCAACCTTGTCCCTGTCAGGAGCTTCGTGCCCCGGGGGATCAGGGTAGAGATCCAGCCCCTTTGGGGGATGGACAAAGCACACCCGAGTGCACTTTTTTGTGCTTGTGTTCTGCACTTGCACGTTTTTTGTGAACACTTTTTTTCGTTTTTCGCACGTTCGCGGACTTAAAAAAATCTGGGAAAAAGTAGGGGTTTTGTGGGGGAATGAGAGACAAATTTGCATATTTTTTAATAATCTTGAATAATGTGCACATTAGGGGATCATGATCCTTTGCAATTGGATCAGAACACTCTCCCTAATGTAGAGCAAGAACAAAAGTAGTATGGCATGGGGGGGGGGAATAAAAAAAAAAAAAAATTAAGAAAATAATGTGTCTTGGCCATAGTTAACAACTGGTGCTTCTCGGCCTTTTGGCTAAGATTAAGTGTAGTATCTGTTCTTGTCAGTGTCCAGTGGGGGTGCTCCCGACCATTCTAGCTTTGCGGGGATGGTTGTTGTATAGTACCCTCACTGGTATGATGGGGGTCCGGAAGGCTGGACCGGAGGGACAGAAACCAGGGGGCGCCACGATACGCTCTGGGACCTTGGGAGTAATTCCTCTGGGAAAGCTGGAAAGACCCAGTACCTCCTGATTTGGACGGATCTTGGTCTGGCCTGGGGATGCAAAAAGTCTGCAAACTCAGTGCCCCCTGGGGAAGACGCTCTCAGGGGTGTCACTAGTAACACTTGGGTGTGGGACCCCACGGTGTGAAGATGACACATGGCCACTGTTTTTCACTTCTTTTTGCACAGCGCCCTAAGGACCAGGCCTTTTGGCTAGGACCAGGGCAATTTTTGCTACAGGCCTCAGGGCCTGGTCTGTGCACAATTCGGCACGGAACCACTTTTTTATTTTTTCTTTATCTTTATTTATTATGCACTCCCACGTTTGTCACTTTTTTGCTCTTATGTGTGTGTTTTTCACGGATGGAGGGTGTGGGTCCTCGGGCCTACCCTGAAGTCTAGGGGGAGGATGTGTGGCCCTACGGTTCCTTCCTCCCCTGATCCCTAGGGGACTCTTCTTCGGGAGAGTCCCCTTGCCTAGTACTGGATGTCTGGCTTCGGCTGGGCATAGGGAATGGTGGTCCACCAGGCCTTTTGGCCAGGAGGACCAATTGGGAACCTTGTCCCCGTCAGGAGCTTCATGCCCCGGGGGATCAGGGTAAGCGGTCCAAGCCCCTTTAGGGGTAGGACACAGCACACCCCTAAGTGCACTTTTTCGTGTGGTGTTTTGCACTTGCACTTTTTTTGTGAACACTTACGGGTTTTTTTCGTTATAGTTGCATGTTTGCGGACTTAAAAAAAAAAAAAAAAAAAACTGGTGCCAATTCTTCTCGGCCTTTTGACTAAGATCAAGTGTAGTATCTGTTCTTATCAGTGTCCAGTAGGGGTGCTCCACGGTCATTCTAGCTTTGCGGGGATGACTGTTTGTATAGCACCCCTGCTAGTATAATGGGGGTCTGGACGGCTAGTACCGGGGGACAGAAACCGGGACGCCAACATGTAGCTGGGGCCTGGGAGTAATTCCCCCGAGGAGACCGGAAGGACCCAGTTCCTCCTGATTTGGACGGATCTACCTTGTTTGGCCAGGGGTCGGGAAGGCAGAGAGTCCGCAAACCAGTGCCCCCTGAGTAGTCGCCTCAGGGGTGCCACTAGAAACACCTGGGTGTGGGACCCCACAGTGTAAAGATGGCACATGGTCACTGATTTACCACTTTTTCTGCACAGCGCCCTTAGGACCAGGCCTTATGACTAGGATCAGGGCAATTTTTGCTACAGGCCTCAGGGCCTGGTCTGTGCACTATTTGGCACGACCACTTTTTTTATTTTCTATTTATTTAATTTATTCACTCCCACGTATTGTCACTTTTTCTTTGCTTATGTGTGTGTTTTTCTCACAGGATGGAAGGTGTGGGTCCTCGGGCCTGCCCTGAAGTCTAGGGGGAGGATGTGTGGCCTTTTGGTTCCTTCCTCCCCTGTCCCTAGGGGGTTTTCTCTTCGGGAGAGCCCCCTGACCAAGTACTGGGTGTCCGGCTTTGGCTGGACACAAGGAACGGTGGTCCACCAGGCCTTTTGGCCAGGAGGACCAAATGGGAACCTTGTCCCTGTCAGGAGCTTCATGCCCCGGGGGATCAGGGTAGTGGTCCATCCCCTTTGGGGGAAGGACAAAGCACACCCCTAAGTGCACTTTTTCGTGTGGTGTTTTGCACTTGCACTTTTTTTGTGAACACTTACGGGTTTTTCGTTATAGTTGCACGTTTGCGGACTTTAAAAAAAAAACAAAAAAAAAAAACCGGTGCCAATTCTTGCTTCTCAGCAAGTGGATCAAGTGTAGTTATCTTTCTCAGGCTGTCTGTGGAGAAGGTGGGTGCTCTGGATCTCTCATAAAGCCCAAGATTGTCAAGAAGCGGATGAAGAAGTTCATCCACCACCAGTCAGACCGTTATGTTAAGATTCAGCCAAACTGGTGCTAGCCTAGAGGTATTGACAAAAGAGCCCGTAGAAGGTTCAAGGGTCACATCCTGATGCCCAACATCGGTTACGGTAGCAGCAAGAAAACCACA